TCTCTCTCTCTCTCTCTCTCTCTCTCTCTCTCTCTCTCTCTCTCTCTCTCTCTCTCTCTCTCTCTCTCTCTCTCTCTCTCTCTCTCATACACACACACGCGCACACATGGGAAACGACGATGCCAAAAGCAAACCTCCTTTCCCTTCTGTCCCTCGTCCTACTCTTCCTCCTCCCCCACCTCCTCCAGTGGAAAAGGGCGATGCACTCACAAACCATCCTCGTTCAAGAACGGGGAGAAGAAGGCCGAGGAGGAGGACAAGGGGGGGGAAGGGGGAGCAGGAGGAGGAAGATGTGGGAGTAGGAGGAGGAGAAGGAAGAAGAGGCGGAATGGGAGGAGGAGAATAAGAAGAAGAAGAGAAGAGGAGGAAGAAAAAGAAGCGGAAGCGGCAGAGGAAGAAGAAGAAGAGGATGGAGGAGGAAGAAGCAGGGGGGAAGAAGCTGGCAAAGTCACCTGACATCACATGACGGCTTGCATGGTGACAAGGGCGGCCTGCTTCACAAAGATAAGAATCGATGTTGGGCACTCCTCTGTACGGCCGCCCAGCAAGGCCGACATGTCCCCATTTTTAATTTTTATTTATTTTCCTGCCTCTGTTGTTCTTTTCTTTTGCACCCTTTTTTTCTTTCCACACATGCCTTGGGCGAGCAGGTCCGCCTACGACCCTGACGACCCAAAACCAACCCCAGGTGAATGTGTGCTTCCCATGTGGCGGCCCATCCAGGCAGGCCACCCAGCTGGGCAATCCGAGCGGGATCTGGGCAGGTCCTGTCCAGCCCACGCGGCCCGGCTGGTAACACAGATAGTAATAAGAAAAAGTGGTCCCCACATTTAACTTCGATCCATCCAGTCATCAATCGCATGACAAAAATAGAAGAGAGGAGTCGCGGCAGACAGCAGAGCAAACCTGTTTGCAGGCACCTCAATTTTATAGATGACCTCTTCATCCTCGTCCCCATCGCCGTTCTCCTCCAAATGCTTCTCTTTCCGGATGATAGCCTTCTCTGTTGTCTACGCACAAAAAAGCCCATTGAAAAGAAGGAAAAAAACACAAGGATAAGGACAGTCGCACACAAAGTCAATGATTGGCTAAAAATCATCAGAGGGGCTTGGCCTGGATGTCCGGGATCCCGGACAACCGATTTATGGCCCCTGGGAAGGACTGTTTGAAGATATATTAGGATTAGAAAAAAATCCTCCACCACATCATCGAAGAAGGATACGCAAGTCATTGTCGACAGGATAGTAATTGGACTCTTCGACCAGGAGAAGGATGTACATACCACGTCATCCAGCTCGATCCCAAAGTCGAAGCATAGCTCATCGAACTCTTCTCTCGCTGAAACGCCATGACGATACAACAGATCGAAGAGCAAATCAGAAAGAGAGAAAGTGAATCCGATCAACAATTGCATGTCTTCTCTCCGTAGAATCTACACCCATTCCAACACCACACTAATGCAGACTGCACTACTTCAACCATCATAGACAGACAGACAGACAGAGACAGACAGACACACAGACAGATGGCCGAGCCACACTCTGGCCTCTCTCTCTCTCTCTCTCTCTCTC